TGCTGTAAGTCATCAAGTTTTGTAACCGGTCATTGCATTTGATAGAGGAAATCTCACTTATCCACTTGCTCTTCTATATTAACTATAGGATTAGAAGGGCCCACTGGGCTCAGTGGCTCACACTTGTAATCCTAGCACTCTGGAAGGCCAAGGTGGGAGGATCCCTTGAGCTCAGGAGTTCAAGACCAGCCTGAGTAAGAGCAAAACCCTGTCTCTACTAAAAATAGAAAAATGAGCTGGGCACTGTGGTGGATGCCTGTAGACTCAGCTACTGGGGAGACTGACACAGGACTTCAGGTTCCGTGAGCTAGGCTGATGCCATGGCAGTCTATCCTGGGACAAGAGAGAGAGATGGTCTCTAAAACAAGAAAAAAAAATTATAAGATTAGTCTGCTAAATTCTAGCAATCCTATAAATCGAAATTATTCTGAATTTAGAGATCCACACGTGGTATGTTTTCATCAGTTTTTCAGTGAAGATAATTATATTATCTATAAATAAGAGGAAAAATTTCTAATTATTATACTTCCTTTAAAAATAATTTTATCTTGTTGCACTGCTAGTGCTAAAGCAGTGTTGAACAGATGCAGTCATAAAGAGTATCTTATAATTTTTCCTTATTTTTAAGGGCATGTTTTAAAACCTGACCATTAAAGTATGACGTTTACTATAGGTTTTTGATAGGGACTTTTAATTTAAAAAAAAGTCAGAGTAAGGATGATCCTTTCTGTTACTGGTTTGCCAACCAGTTTAATACCATTTTGTGTTAATCAAATGACTTTTCTACTGATTTTAAGACAACCTTAAGTTTTACGTTCTTAAATCTCCCTGGTAGACATGGAGGTGCTCCACCCAAATTACCCTTTAAAGAAGGGCTCAGTATCCCTGTTTCTGGCAGCCTACAGTGTTAGCACCATCACAATTTGTCTCAGCCCACCCGAGAGGGGGCCACCGCCAGAGAGGACCAGTCTGGTGATTGTGGGAGGCAGGTGTATGAAGGCCAGGTCACTGTGTGTCTCAGTGGGCACTCTGATAAGTCAAATATGCTTCAAAGCGCCCCTGTGGCTGGTGCAGCTTTGTGGGCTGGCCTCCCAATTCTCCTTTTTCTGCTTGCGTCCTCCCTTCCACACACGTGGGTAACCAATGCATGTCAGTATCCTGTATGCCAAGCACAGTTTCAATGTCTTGTCCCAGACAACTTAGCCTCGGACAATCTGAAATGAATACTTTTCAAGTGTTGAAAAATTCTTTGCATTTCTGGGACAAACTCTCCTTAGTCACATACATGACCAGATTCAGTTGGGTAGTACTTGAATTTGTTTGTTTGATCCCACGTCTATTGTTAATGTGCCCTTTGTATAATCCACGTGGACCCACTGTCTGGTGGGAGGTCAAGTCCTGCCCATAGCTGTAGAACTCTTCCTCCTAAAGCAGATATATACTGACGTTCTATAGCTATCGTTATAAGGTGTTCTTATTCTTGAGCTTACTTGTAATTTGAAGCATCTCTAACTCTCCTAGGCAATTCAGTTGGCTTGATGAAGCAGTTGCCGAGGCACCTTGTGTTCAAGAGATTCTACATTTGGGCCTGGGCCATTGATAGCTCTGCCAGTGCCATCTTCCCAGCTCAATCCACTCCGTGGGCCAAGAGTGTCTTACAGACTAAAGAGAAGCATGACAGACAGCAAGGTGCTTTAAGGGCGGGACTCACCCCCACTGCACTGTGATGAGCTCAGGGAATAAGATGAACAACACATAACACAAGACGGGAAATTATAGGGAAAGTAATGTTCTTACTGTGCACTGACAGGAGGAAAACACAGACACACAGCGGGGGACCTTTACTGGTCACTTTCCTCAGAGAGCTTCCCTTTCTGACCAGAAGGTGGCAGAGAGGGTGCGTTATAAACTATCCCCTCTCTAACAACAAAAAACTGTTTTTTAAAAAGAACTTAAAGAGGAGGATAAATAACTCTTATAACTTTTAACCTTCAGAAATATGTAGATTTTCTGGTTCTGTTATTTACTATACTTAATAGAAATATTTCGAAGAGTGATGAGATAATCATTATTGATAACTATACCATATGCATTGGGCAAAACATTTTTGGCTATAACACAAATATTAATTTGTCTAGAAGTTATAGATATGTGCTACGGGATCTATAAAAATGAGTTCAGTATAATTATTAAAAAATATTTTAAGGCTACTGAAAATTAAAGGAAAAATTTATCCCACAAACATGTCATTTGTGAGGCAGCACTCGATGTTATAAGTTATGTTATGTCCTCATCCATAAAATGAAGGACTGGATTAGATGACAACCCGATTCCCTTCTTACACTAATATAGTATATTTCTTATCTTAGAGATGAAGTAAGAACAATGTATGACTCACCTGTGGCTATGTACTAGCTAGTCAAGAACTGTCTCTAAAACCTGAGTTTTGGCTCGGCGCCTATAGCTCAACCGGCTAAGGCGCCAGCCACGTACACCTAAGGTGGCGGGTTCGAATCCCCAGCCCGGACCTGCCAAACAACAATGATGGCTGCAACCAAAAAATAGCCGGGCGTTGTGGCGGGCGCCTGTGGTCCCAGCTACTTGGGAGGCAGAGGCAGGAGACTCGCTTGAGCCCAGGAGTTGGAGGTTGCTATGAGCTGTAATGCCACGGCACTCTACCCAGGGGGACAGCTTGAGGCTCTGTCTCAAAAAAAAAAAAAAAACCTGAGTTTTCTGACCCTTTATCAACTTCACCATTGGTTTTAAAAAGATGAATACCCACAGACAGCTAAGTGAGCTACAGCTTCTGCCCATAAGAAAACAGTCTGAATTCACTACAGGTTCGTTTAAAATGGGGGTTCATACCTGTAATCATAGTAACTTGGGAGGCTAAGGCGGGATGATCACTTAAGGCCAGGAGTTTGAGAACCCACCTGGACAACATAATAAGACCTATCTCTAAAAATAATTTAAAAAATGTATCTGGGTATTGAGTGGTCCCAGCTACTCAGGACACTAAGGCAGAAGGACTGCTTGAGCTCAGGAGTTTGAGGCTACAGTACCTCTGACTGCACCATTGCACTCCAAGCTGGGTAACAGAGTGAGATCCGTCTCTAACAAATAGAATTTTAAAAGTGGCACATAACTCAAAATGCCTGTGGAACATCCAGAGGCAGATTTATTTTGAAAGGGAAAGACCTGCTAATGAGTTCCTGGGGTCTGAGTCCACAGGGGCTGATGGCCAGGTAAAGAAAGAACAAATGGGACAATTCCAAGTACGAGTTGAAAGCGCGGGGAGTGGGGGAGACTGAGTGCTCTCAACAAGATGCTCCATGGAGCCAGTGGTGCTGCAGGCCACCAGCATTGCACACAGGGAAGGAGGGCAGCCAGAGCTCGGGAGGGTCAGACGCCCCACGTGCTGACTCGGCCTGGATGAGAATAAAACAAGACGAACTAAATGGTCTTTGCTGGAGGCTTTACTCACAAAAATATTTTCCCAATCCAGTCCCTGACTTATGACAGTAAATAATATACCACAGTCCTTTCAATGGCTCATCTCCCTGCAAGCCTGATTTTAAACTATTGTGGAGGTGAAAAATTTAGAAGTAATGTTAAAAGTTGAGGTTGCTCCTAATAGAAGTCAGATCTGTTTTTCAGAATCCTCTGCAGGTATAGGGCTGTAGAAACTCTAGACTTCTGTGGCTTGGCATCTGCAAAGTCCCATTCTGCTCTTCTCCTTGCCATGCCCAGAGAGAATGCCGCCTCATTCTGTAATGCTAGGTGTGCTTTGCAAGAAAATGCAGATATTTGTGGGCGGAGTCAGTTGAAAGCCTGGAGAGATTTTTCAAAAGTCTGTATAGGCCAAACACTGCAGAGATTTCCAAGGGGTGAAAAATACCTTGGGGGTTAGCAAATTTCCACTGTTTGTGTAGCCAAAGGTGCAGTTCTAGAAACATGGCAAGTAACTAATTGTGGCAGGGGAGGGACAGCCTGAGAGCTGGTGAGTGGGTCCTAGGATGCTTTCCTTACATGCACCCCTCCATGCTCCTGAGAGCAGTGGCACGAGCTCCTCAGTCACCCTGGGCTGACTGGCTCACAGCCTAGCTAAGTTTTATCTTGTGTGGCTGTAAAAACAGGTTATCTTATTATAATTTGGAAATTTGGAAATACAGTGATCCAGGAGTTAAGTTGATGTACAGTAAATCAAGGGCATATACAAAGTCATCTTAGACTAGCAGATATCAATTTGGGGAACTTTGTAAATCTCTCTAAAGACCTGATAAAAAGCTACTCACATAACCCACTCACCCCCAGCACTCTGTGTCCCCTGCAGAATGTCCCTCTGTACAGCATGTGATACCATCACAGTTCAGAGATGCATGGCCCAGGTGAAGACTTAAAAATCCATGGCTTATGGGGATAGAATGGCCCTAGGGTAAGGCAAGGTCAGACTGAAAGTACAATAAAGCATGAACATTCCATTGGAAAGGAGGTTTGTCTGCAGCTACAAACACAGAAGAAAGCTCCACAGAGGTACAGGCTACTGCGGCTTCCCCAGGGACAGTCCAGAACCGAGCCAAGGCCAGGGACACTGACATTCCTGCTCCCTGCCTGGCTTTGCCTGCCATATCCTGTGTCTGCCTGGAGGACACATCCAACAATTTCCAACTAATTCCCTCACTCTGACTCTGTACTCACCAAGCAATCATCTGGATACAAGTTAGTCCCTTCTGTAGATGTGCCCACAGGGACAGAGTGCTCTGATCTTGCCAGTGAAAACATTCCAGAGTACATGGCATCACAGTACAGTCTGGAAACACGTGGACTGGCATTTTGTTCTATACACTGGTCTCAGGAGCTGTGAGCTCACCCCTGAGAGTAAGATCCAAGGTCAGATTGGAAATTAGAATTTTAAGCCTATCAAGCTGAGGCCTAGAATACTGAAGTGCCAGCTGGCGGCTCCTAGCCACTCACCCTCCCGCTGGATTGGCCATGCTTACCTTTCACAGGACATCGGATCGTCACATTTGCTTGAAGGGCTGCCTCCACAGTGCCTCCAACCACAATGGACAGATGGTTGTGCTCTGGTTTGGTAATGTTTCTTTCAATAGACAAGATGACAGGTGCCTCTTAATTCAAAGGGAGCAGGAAACTGTGTTAGGTTCAGGCTCTTGCTGTCTGATAAACCAGGTTGCAGCTGGTGAACTTTGTGGAGCTCTCTGAGAGGTGGGTGGGGGGTGGTGTCTTGCTCATCTCTGTGCCCCTCCAGGGTGCACCACTGGGACTGGAACATATGTTGTGGGAGATGCCCAGTGGACAGCCAGACGGGTGGATAGATAGATGGTCAAATATAGATTATGAGAATATTTTAGTTTTCCAGGGTCAAATATAGATTATGAAAATATTTTAGTTTTACAATCAAAATGATGTATAAATTTTTCTTTGATAATTTTAAAAAGAAGGAATTCTGAAGCCTAGAAGAGGCAAAGGAAGCATGGCAGGGCAGGAATATTATCTCTGCAGTGCGGCCTTGGATAGGGTAATGCAGGGCTGAAACACCCCAGAGCCCAGGACCCCTGACGAACAGATGTGAGATACTGGGGGAGGGGGCTGAGGAAGACAGAGCAGAAGGTCCTGATGCATTCTGGTAGAGTTACCCTGATGGAGAAAACTCGAGAAACTCTCTCACACTGAGCTAAGAATAATACAAGGTTCTTACTCCAGAGGTCCTCAAACTTCTTAAACAGGTGTCCAGTTCACTGTCCCTCAGACCACTGGAGGGCCAGACTGTGGGCCCCGGGACAAATCGGCTGCTAAGCAGGACAGGCAGTGGAGGCAAAAACACACAGCTGGCTGGATATGGCCTGTGGGCTGCATGTGGCCTGCAGGCCGTAGTTTGAGGACACCTGTTCTACTCCATTTAAACAGTTCTCGAGTGTCTAGTCTGTGGCCTGCACCAGTGCACAGGATGAGAAGGGCCTTCTCTCTTAATGCCCACAGTCTGCTGGTGCAGAGAAGATGCCCCCAGGTGTTTTCTAATACAAAATTTCTCTGCATGTGCCAGGACAGGCTGGCAGGGGCGTGGCGGAATATGAGTGGGCTCAGAGCTCATTCACAGCTCCCCGCAGAAAGATCAGACAGATGGGAGCCCCCAAGTCCTGCTCAGCCTCTTATGACAAGCTGTACATGCACATGGGCAAAATCTCCCCTCCTTGGGCCTCAGTTTGAATCTCAGTAAAAGGATTGAGCTTGAAGATCTGAAGATCCCTTAGGTCTCTTCCAACTGCAGTTCTCTCACCTAGTGTGTGTTCAAAGAGGCCCTTTCTGATCCTACTTACATAAACTAATTTCAGTCCAAAACAGAGAGGCTAATTTAAAGACTATTAACTGCAGAGAGGCCACTGGAAACATTCTTTGTATTTCTCCACACTGCGGAAGGTCTCGAGGGGGAAATGTCTTAAGGGCCTGATTTATGAGATTGTATGAGGTTACTACAAGTGGATTAGACCTGTCTGCAATACAAATTCAAAGTTGACATTTTAATTAACCTGAAACAAATATCTGCATACATTTTTCATGGAAAAAATAATAATAAAAACAAAGCCACAGAGAGTCAAATACCCATTCAAGGACTTCTACTTTGGATTTTAACACTTAACAGATTAATGTATTAATTCACTCAGGAAACACATTTTGTGTCTGATGAGCTGGACAATGAGGAGCACAAAGTTGAAAAACATAAATCTCGCCCTCCAGGAGTTCCTAGACCTGTAGGAGACGCCACTACCATGCAGAGTGTGGGTGCGGAGAGAATGGGACTGGTTACCCAGGGGTCTCTCGGTAGCCTGTGGCGGTCACGGAAGGCAACATCCTAAGAGAATGTTTGGCAGAGCATTTCTCTACATCAGTGCTGCTGCAGTGCTCAGCTTCCTGACACGCCGTCTGTACCCACACGCCAGCTCCTGGAGGGAGAGGCTGCACTTCCTTACGCAGTTTTACCACCTCTGCATAGTTAGTGCGTGAAAGAACTGGTAAGGGTGAGACGCACTTTAGGAAAGAGAGTCTAGGAACAATGGTATTTGGGGACTAAATGTTCTTCCATCCTGGAGTGTCTGGGGTGGTGAAAGGAAGACAGGAACCCTTCCTCAGGAAGGGGCTTTGGCTGTCACAGCTCCTCTGGTTCCTGAGGACTTGAACCAGCTCTGCCTGGAATCTGGAGTGTTCTGGGATGGGTTTCAACTTGAGAGCTGCAAGGTGGACTCCTATCCCACTAGGCATTCCAGAATCTTGGAACTGATGCTTTCTGGAAAGGAGCTGACACTCACAGGACAGAATGACCCAGGAGGATCAGGACATAGAAAACCAAAGCCTGAAGGCCCAGCCTTGGGAAGACAGCTGGGGAAGGGCTCGGAATCTTCAAGCCATACATACACATTCAAAGGCATTTTAAAATCAACCTCTTCATTTTTAGATATGAAGTGCCTGACACAAAGCTCAGCAGTTAGTTGACTAAATGCTGGATTCCAGTGCCTAATCGTCCACCTTGTCATCTGAGTCCATTTGAGCCACAGATGCCAGAAATCAGAGTAAGAAGTTGTGGGTGGCTCTTTTGCTTTGTTTTTAATCCCCCAAACAAGGAAGCATTGCCTGCAACCTTACCACCTAAACACGTTCCTTTATGATAAAAGTACATTTTAATATCAAAATGACACTGTCCACCACCTGTGGAGACACACATTAATTTACAGTCACAACTTCCTGGAGGTGTCTATAGGACTGGTAAGTATGCTGCTGGGAGGCATGTGCCAGCCTGGGGTGGATAATTATGCTTTCATTGACTGGGGGAACTTCAAAAATTCAAAGTCTATAATATCAGCTTTGCCCATTAAACTCGAGCTCATGAATTCCCAATTCTTAGGAGCAGCCCATGTTCAAAGTGTGGTCCTCAGACCACTAGCATCGAGCATAATTCAGGATGTTAAAAACACCAAATCTTGGGTGGCACCTGTGGCTCAGTGGGTATGGCGCTGGCCCTATATATTGAGGGTGGCAGGTTCAAATCCAGCCCTGGTCAAACTGCACAAAAAAATAACCAGGTGTTGTGGCAGGCGCCTATAGTCCCAGCTACTCAGGAGGTTGAGGCAAGAGAATCGCCTAAGCCCAGGAGTTGGAGGTTACTGTGACGCCACAGCACTCTACCGAGGATGACAAAGTGAGATTCTGTTTCAAAAAAAACCCCCAAAAACCACCAATTCTCAGACTTTATCCTAAACCATAGTCAGAGCCTCTGGGGGTGGACCCTGCGAGTGTTTTCAAGCCCCTCAGGTGAGTCTGATGCCTGCTAAAGAAAAGCGCTGCTTATAGTGTGACGTTACAAATAAGCAAACAGAAAAACAGGCGTTCTGGGTTTCAGCCACGGGCATTACCTGCATACAGCACAGAAGAACTTTCCACATCTGACCCGTGGCGATCAGCTACAGTGCACTCGTATATTCCTTGTTCTTTCCTTGTAGGATTCCGTATCTGCATCTTCCCAGTTCCATCCAGAATTATTCTGTGCAACAATTAGAAAGAGGCTGTATGCATGGAGCACGTTTAGCTGCCCTAGGCAAGCATCTGGCCCTAGGCAGCAAACTACACAGGGCTGGAAAGGGGAGTAGTCTTTCCTCTTTCCTAGATTCGTGCCAGCAGTGGAGCTGGACAGTGGACATCCAGCCTTCCCACCTCACTTTACGTGAGAACAGACTTTGCTGGATGAACTCAATGCTTCATCTACCACTTTTTAAAAAGAAAACCTAGCAAAGCTATTCATTAGCTGGATGTTAAACCTTCATTTTTGGCCCAAATCCTTTCTAACAAACTGTAGGTATGCATTCTGAGTTTGGATTTTCACACCGGACGTGAGTGGGTTTTGGTCAAGACTGCTTTGCAATGGATTCTCGTCTCATTGTTACCATATGAAGAAGTCAATTAAGGTAACAAAGCTGAGTCTGCGGTATACACTAGATTTGGGCCATGCTGTTAAGAATTAGGACTCAATGGGATGAGTTCACTATAGTTTCCCAATTACTGGTATTCCTGAAAGCCTACATGTAAATACCACGTCAGGAATCAGAGTTGGTCAGGTGTATCCTAACTGATCAGAGAAGTGGGACAGAGTGCTTGTTCTGCTTTTAATTTTTTTTCTTACTGATTTGAATGTGCTTCTAAACCCTCAGATCAGTGGTCTGTATACTGTTTTCCCCCTTCCCCATTCCACATTATAGATTTTAGCAATATGGACTATTTGGACCTCTAAATACTGTCTATTTCTTCATGAGTTGGGCTGGGCCACGTCTTCATTTCCTGTAACCCGTGTTGTTCACCTTATGCTCCAACCATAATGAACTAACTATTTCCAGAACATTCCATAAGCTTTCATCACTCTGAGATTTTGCATGTGTTGTTCACTTTATTTGAGGTGCCCTTCCCCCTTTTTGGCAAACTCTGACTTACCCACTGAGTCCTGGATCAAATGTAATTTCCCCTGTAAAAGTTTTCCCCCAAACTCCTAGAATTATCTCCTGTCTCCTCTGGGTGTCTTCTTTTCTGGTTCATATATTTATTTGATGAAATATCAATTTCTTTTTGCTAGATTGTGATCTTTTCAAGGGCAGGGGCCAACTCTCATTCACAGCTGTGAATTCTTGGAGTTTAGCACAGTGACTTTTATACAGCAGGTTCTCAAAACCTTATGATGAATGGGATGAATGAATGTCTGAATAACGATTAGAACAGAACAGAATAGTAGCACAGGATAAAGGTCTGGAAGGCTGCAACCCCCACCCTCACCCTGCAACACACGTGAGTAATACACATAAGTGGGCAGAAGTCAACACAGCTCAAGTGTCTAGGAGCAACAGGAGAATAGCAAACCTGACTATCAGCAAGGCAAGATTTTCAATGCCAAATCCCTACTGAGAACAAATTGTTGGTGAAAAACAAAAGTTTAACCAGTAACCCATACATGAAAAATAACACACTAAAATGTTCCAGAAATTATTTCATATATGATTTCATATATGATTTAGCAATTCTCAAATCCTTTGTTTTTAAGCCTCAACTTAACAGTCCAGCAAGAAGTCACTGAGATTAGAAACAGCTAGGCATGCACAGCCCTGAGTGACAGGCGGGCCCTCCAGGCACTAGGCTGGAGAGCCAACAGGCAGAGTCCCTCTCCGGATCTGACCTTGGCCTCTGCTGCACAATCTCACTCTCGAGTATTAACAAAGCTGATCGCCCCATAGATACCACCCCTAATTCACCCACACGCAGCCTTCCTCTCCCAGCTGAGATTTATTACTTATTTGATCTCCAAACACTACCCCACACCTGCACAGTATCTTCTAGTTGGACAGAGACTAGAAATTCCATTTCTGTACTGCTTCCGTTGAAAAGATTTGTGAGATTCAGAAAATATACTAAAGGTAACCTTGGTTTTTGGGTTTTTTTTTTTTTTTTTTTTTTGTGGAGACAGAGTCTTATTTTGTCTCCCTTGGTAGAGTGCTGTGGCATTACACAGCTCACAGCAACCTCCAACTCCTGGGCTTAGGCGATTCTCTTGCCTCAGCCTCCAGAGTAGCTGGGACTACAGACGTCCGCCACAACACTCGCTATTTTTTTGTTGCATTTTGGCCAGGGCTGGGTTTGAACCCGCCACCCTCGGTATATGGGGCTAGTCCCCTACCCACTAAGTCACAGGCATTGCCCAAGATAACCTTGTTATGTCAAGGGAATTAAACACAAGTTAAACAAAATAGGGTAAGTTTCAGAGAAACAAACAGAAATTAAAATGGATGTTAAACTCTTAAAAAATTAAAACTGAGCAATTTTACTACAGATATGAAATTGCTTCAATTTCAAATGGTTGATCCTTATAGTATGTAGAATAGGATGAATAGGGTGTATTATATCAAAATCTTTTTTTATTTGATAAGAGCCCCAGAAGTCTTAGTCTGAGAAACTTATGTGTATTCCATTTCATCAACTCAAACTCTTTAAAATCAACTCAATTCCACAAATATTTACAAACTGACCATACACATCAACCTTCTCAGCCTCTGTTTTCTCACAATTTATGACATGGCATTGTTGAGCCATGTCACCAGTCTTCAAAGGGTGAAGAGTCCATGAAGTTAAAACTATTCTCATAACAATACTAAACCGTGTAAACTATGTTCATAACACTACAAACTGCCCAACACACAAACTATTGAACTATTTTCATAACCACTGTTTGCCTTTTCACTTGTTGGCCTTTGCAGTGACAGTGCAAAGCCTGGCTGTGCAGGTGAGGCTGCGGCAGCAGATGGCGCCAGGAGTCTCTGCATTCTTGACTTACAATTAAAAACAAAAAATGCCAATTTCACCTAAGAATGCCCTTAAGGAAGTAGGAAACCCTGACCCTTGAGTCATATCTTTTTAATAACCTGTAGGAAAAATGGGGAGAAAAAAGTACTTGTGGGGCATGCTGAAGGATGTAGGCCTGATTGTCTGAGTTACTAGTTAACTAGCTGCTTATATCATGAGACAGTATTTACTTGAAAGAATGACAGACAACTAAAACAAAATAGTTCACACTGTGATTTGCATTTGGGCAGTTTGCAAGTATATACACTTATAAAGTATGTCCAGCTCACAATGAAGTGAGCTGGACAATTCAGGGAAATAACTGACTGTATTTATTGCCAGTGATAATAGCTTGAGCTTTCAAGTGAAAATTAGAATTTTGAAAAACTAGTCTCCACCATTTTGAGCTTGACAGCTTCACAAAATTTAAAGACTTTTTTTTTTTTTTGAGACAATCTCATCTCATTCAGTTGCCCAGACTAGAGTGCCATGGCATTAGCATAGCTCACAGCAACCTTAAACTCCTGAGCTCAAGCAAGCCTCAGCCTCCCAAACAGCTGGGACTACAGCTAATTTTCTATTTTTAGTAGAGATGGGGGTCTCACTCTTGTTCAGTCTGGTCTTAAACTCCTAAGGTCAGGCATTTCTCCTACCTCAGCCTCCCAGAGTGCTTGGATTACAAGTATGAGCCTCTGCACATAGTCTAAAGATGGTGGTAAGATTAAAGAATATGTGTTTTTTTATATTGTGTAATGCAATGTGTCAATATTTGGAAGATCTATATAACTCAGTAAGCCAATATGTTCCAAATGACCAATATATATACCATGTTACAAAATATTGCCTGGATAAAAAAAAATCTATTCAAAGTATCAGATAAATCAGTAGATTTCAATGAACAGAGTACTAACATTTCAATAACATGGGTTCAGATTTCACATTCCAACTAACCTTTGAGAAACTACCATTTCTCCAGTTTTAGTGTAGGACTAAAGGATAATATTCACAGTGATCTGGAAGAGTATTAAAATATTCCTTTTTCCAACAAATGTATCTGTATGAGGCACTTTTTTCTTCAAATACTTCAACTAAAACAACATGTCACAAGAGATGCAGAAACAAGAATACAGCTGTCTTTTAAAGCAAGTCCACCATTAGCAGTAATTTTGGTGGTTTGGGGAGAGGTGGGATAATGCTTTTCAAAAAATATGCTATTTATGTGAAAATGTAATGGTCTTGTTTCTGAAAGAGATTAATAGAGACATTAAATGTTTCTTGGATTTAATTTCTAATAAGGTAAATAGCAAGATATAATTCACATTTCAAAAGCTCTTTGGACTTCTCAATCATTTTTAAGTTTAAAGGAGCCCTAAGACCAAAAGCTCCAAGAACTGCTAAGTTTTATTTCACTTCTAAAATTTCATTGCACTCTTGTTCAGAGTTCTAGGATAGAAGATCAAAAAATTAGATATTTTTCTTTTTCAGTTCAAGACATGGCCTCATAGTTTATTATGAAAAAACTTAATTTTACCTGGATTTCTTATAATGTTTTACATGATAAAATAAAACCTGAAGTTTGAAAGCATCTTTATGGTCTACAAAACTATTTATTTTACATCTGCCATTTTGTTTGTGTCATTTAACAATCCTTAGAGACAAATAAGGTATAACTTGAGCTCTTATGTGCAAATTAAAAAGAATAATGTCTACAGTTTTTTGAGTACAAACAGCAATATTTGAAGACAGTAAAGAATTCAAATGTAAATTAATACATGTGTCTGTTGTCCTTGATGTTTTACGTGAAATGAATGAATGACATTTTTGTCACAAAGATCACAATAATATGACTTAATATGTTTTGAACATCTCACAAGACTGATTCTTATTATCTAATTTTTAGACTGTATGACATAAAAAATAGCATGGTAATAGAAAATTACTTCAGATACCCAATATTTCTATTAAAGCTACTATTTGTATGACATTTAAATATCACTGGTGGTGTTGAGGAGATACAGCCCTGTCTGTGGATGGCCACAAGATAGCCTAGCCGTGTGAACCTGTTCCTCAGTGACCATCAGAATGCTGAACCTTTTGCCCTGACAACCTCCCGGGGCTGATGTGAGGGCAAATGCAATGTCGTGTCCCCTAGATACAGGAGAGCTCTGTGAATTCTGATCTGCAGACCCAACATAATGTAGGATTACTCCTGGCAAGACTATTTACTTTTTAAATAGTCTTATAGTGATTTCATTTTTAAATGTTAAGTGCTGTGCAAAGGGAGAATTTATATATGCATACACTCATTGTTACTACATCCAGTCTTGTACCACATTAAAAAATTCTGGGAAAAACACATCCTGACATTTTCAACTTCCCTTTCTAAAGAATCCTGTTGGAAACACATTCTTAGGAGAAGGAGTTTGAAAATATTTTCAAGAAAACTGGAATAGCCATTAAGAAGGTACTCCAAAAACAAATGCTACATTCTTATTTTACTTACTTCACCGAGGGCTGTAACAGTGCTCCATCCTTGGTCCATGTATATGTGGCCTCACTGGGGGTAATAACATCACACAGTATGTTGATGACCTCTGTCCTTTTTGTGATATATACTATGTTTCCAATTCTTGAGTTTATCGTTTTATTAAATGAGACTGAGGGAGGATGGCTTTGCCTCATGAGGACAGGTCCCTTTGGCTTGAATGTCAACTTGCCTGAGTTCTTTGCATTCGTGCTTTGGCGCCCACTTTCTGTCCCCCCCTTCAGCTGAATAGCAGGAGCCACCTCTTCCTGGATGCCCGTCCACTGCCTGGGTGTGGGCTGCACCTTAGCTGACTCAGCCACCAGCTGGTAAATCACCTGGGATGCCAGGTCGTCACTGACCTCTCCCGTCTCCAGGAGCTGACTCATGTTTCTGATCAGTTCATCGAACTGGGCTGCATCCATGCTGTAGGCCCCCTGTTTAACTGCCGCTTCAAACTGCTTGTCTTTAAACTCCCAGGAGTTGGTGTTTCCTTCAGAGTGGCTGCAGTGACCTAAAAGAGCTCTCAGGAAAGACTGGTTATGAATTTGGCCGTCACCCAGATAAAGCTCATGTTTGCCACTCCACATCTGTCGCATTTTATGCCATGTGACTCCCAAGTCATTGGCTTCCTTGTGGTCCATCCCAGGATACGCCCTCAGGTGTTCTGGGAGGGCTGGGTGTGCAATGAGCCGGTTGTCAGTACCTATGAGCTTCAGCACTGCTGTTTGCTGTGCAGGGCCGGCAATGCACCGGTACACGCCGATGTCGGTGGCTGCCAGACTGTGGATCTTTAGTGAGCCAGACTTGGTGACACCAAGCCGTTTGGAGTTCTGCAGGCAATGGCCATCCTTCTCCCACCGGATCAGAGATTTCTGGAATCGTCGCACTGGGCATTTAATTATCACAGATGTGTTGGGCAGCAAATAGGCCCTGCTACCGATGGTCAGGTTAATACGCTTCTCCTCTCTCGTCTGAATGTAGACTCTCTGGACACTGAGGATCTGGGGACCCTGCTCACCAAGCTTTGTTTTCATCTCTGGTTTCATTTCTGCAGGAAAATAAGAAAATAAACATCTCAAAAATAAAAACATTTTGACAATAATCTTTTGTGGCTGGTACAAGCAAACAAATGTATCTTTCTAAATTTTCATTTGAGGATGAAAAGATGAATAAGATAGAACAGGCTCTCTGGAGCCAGACAAATGTCATAAATCCACATATTGGAGTAAATTGCACTATTAGTACTTTAGCAACAAAGAATGTGAGTTTAAAGAGTTGCATGAAAACATGTAAATTATTTGACAAACCTTGGTTTGGGGAGGCATGAGTAGGGTGACCAGACATCCCGCTTTTGAACAATTTGTCCTGCGTCCCACAGCATTTTAAAACAGTCCCGATTTTTGGAAAGAATGCATGAATGGGTGGGAGAACAGGAAGGGAATGAATATGCGGTTTTTGGCTGCCATGTGGCTATTTCACCAGAATATGAGTTTTATATTATTTTTGTTAATTTTATGTTAAACTGTAATAATAACAAATAATTGTTGAGAAGTGATTATCGAGAACTGCTTATCAAAGTTTGCATTGTTGTCAGGCCCTGCCCTGCCCTGTCCCCACCCCGCCCCCACCCTGTCCCCACCCCACCCCGGCTCCACCCCCGGCCAGGTTGTCCCACTTTACAAATATTAAAATCTGGTCACCCTTGGCATGATAGTTCCATGAAATAAAGAGAAGGGTTATTTCTAGATTTAGGGAATATTTGTCCTAGGTCATGATCATATGATGGCCTCATAACTACACAGCTCCTGGGTACAAGTTGTCATTAATAGGGATTAGTCTGATACACCGGGCCTCCACCATCTGGTAAGGAGTCAGGGCCTGGCTTGGAGCCATGGTGTACATCAAATTTGAGGGAGGAAGTGAAAGTGGGAACATGAGTGAATAAATTTGAAGGGTCTATATATTGAGAAGGAAGATGAAGTTGGCCAACTGCAGACTATAACCCAGATTTGTCAGTTAAACTAGCATGGAGGAGCTGAGGAAGCAATAGGAAGCTATGATCTAAAAAGAAAAGGTAGGGAGGGGCACAGTGGCTCTCTCCTGTAATCCCAACCCTTTGGGAGGCCGAGCCAGGAGCATGGCTTGAGCCTAGGAGTTCCAGATCAGCCTGGGCAAAATAGCGAAACCCTATCTGTATAAAAAATGAAAAAAAAAAAAAAAGTTAGCCAGGTGTGCTGATGCACACCTATAGTTCCAGCTTCTAGAGAGGCTGAGGCAGGAGGATCCCTTGAGCCCAAGAGTTTGAGGTTGCAGTGAGCTATGAGCTATGATTGTACCACTGTACTTCAATCTGGACAATACAGCAAGACCCTACCTCTAAAAAAATAAAAAAAGTTTAAAATGAAGGAAAAAAAAAAGAAAAGAACAGGCACTTTGAAATTATACAAATCTAAGATTAAATCTTAGCTCTGCTACTTGAATAAGTTCAGTATCAAAACTCTGATCACAGATATTATAATGAATAGCTCTCAAATTCTGCTATACATTAAAATCATCTGTTCTCCAAATCCATCAGATAAATATAAAAGATACAAAATCTCTATATTTTTTATGACTGAATATTAAGAATAAAAAAATCAGTTCTGAGTATTATTTATTAATCTCAGTATTTGAGTCTCATCCTCAAATATGGGGGTATTTATGGGGTTCAGCCTGGGCATCAGAGTTTTTAAAAGCTCCCTGAGTGACTGAAATTTGTGGCAGAATGTGAGGACCCTTTCCCAAGAGGGTACCACTGGATTAAACCAAGGCAGGAGTCAGGCATTCCTGACCCAACTTCTTGTACTAAGGGATGCTTCTGGGTCAAGAGGGTAGAAGCAAGAAATAGTCTCTGTGTCATCTGTGTGAACCCTCCAAAGTCTTCACGACAGGCAATGTCTTTTGTGAGACGAGCATGGGAGGATTTCTTTCTGGTGTTAGCATCAGCTGAGCCTTGAACAATATGGATTTGAACTTTGTGGATCTGCTGATCTGAGGACTTCTTTCTTCTGAACATCATCATACTGAGTGTGCCTGCATCTCCTGGCTTCCCTCTCACCCCCTCCACCTCTCCTGCCTCTGCCCCCCAGACACTGAAGTCAACCCTTCCTCTTTCTCCTCCTCTGCTTGTTCAATATGAAGATGATGAGTCCGGCTTGGCGCCCATATCACAGTGGTTATGGCACCAGCTACATACACCGAAGGTGGCAGGCTGGAACCCAGCCCAGGCTAGCTAACCAACAATGACAACTGCAACAAAAAATAGCTGGGCATTGTGGCAGACACCTGTAGTCCCAGCTGCTTGGGAGGCTGAGGCAAGAGAATCACTTGAGCCCAAGAGTTTGAGGTTGCTGTGAGCTGTGATGCCACCGTACTCCACCAAGGGTGACATAGTGAGACCCAGTCTCAAAAAAAAAAAAAAAAAAAGATGATGAGTCCTTTGTTATGACCCACTTCCACTTAATGAGTAGTGAATACTTCTACATTTTTCTTATTAATGTTTTCTTTTCTTCAGCTTACTTTATTGTAAGAATACAGTATATGATACATGTAACACACAAAATGTGTGCTATTTGACTTTGTGTTATAATAGGGAAGGTTTCCAGTAATTAGTAAGCTATCAGTAGTTAAATTTTCAGAGAGTCAAATACTACAATGAACTTTCAACTGTGTGGGGTATTAGATTAGACCCCCTTACCCCCATATTGCTCAAGAGCCAGCTCTACTCTGAGTAATTCATTTATTTCTTACCTAATGAACACTGAACTTATAATTTGTCAGGTGGCTCTTTTCAAGTTGATTGTTGCATTAACAGGTTTAGAGTCACATTTATGTCTGTATGCAACAGTGGTTATTACTCACCTGCTTCTAATTTTACTAATATTCTTACACTTTACGAATACTTATAAATGGCCTATTGTAACAAGGCAGGATATGTACATCTCTATGTGTATATATACACGTAAGTGTGTATCTACCTATGTGTCTGTTACTGTGTATTGTTAATTAAAAAGATACAGGTGAACACCCTGTGTTGTTACTGGTCTTTTGGTAGTAGAAAATAGAAAATGTGGATGATACTATTTATAAACAAAATACAAAGGGGGTTGAAGTCAAACTTTCCAACTCTTGCAACTGAGGAATATGTGGAGATAGCTATGTCAGGGTAGCAGTGGCTGCTAACAGATGTGGGGTAAATGCTTGGACATTCCTGCTCTCACTGGGATGGCGCAGAAGCCCACACAGGGACTTTCTAGCTGGATGATTCAAGCTGGGGATGAGCCTTAGCATCCTCACACCCTGGGAGCAATACAGAAATGGATTGTAATTACTTTCAGATGCATTGGTACCAGATACCTTTTAGCTGAGCTAGGGCTTAAGGTGAAGGGACCCCTGGCCCCTTCCAAGGCAGGTTGTGGAACATGGGCTTTGGTGAAGTACCTGTCTGGGTGGCTGGATGAGCCACAGGAGAAGCCCAGCTGCTCCTTCCGGCTGCATGCCCTGTGGTCCCAGCCAGCCTCCTCCCGACCTCTGGTTGGCAATCGTGTACACCGGGGCTTACAGCATTTCAGGTAGCAGGTATGCCTGGATACTGGATTTGCCTTTCATCCAGAGACAGAAAGACTTCGGCTCCACCAGGCTGCCAGGGTCTGCATTTGGGCTAGTTGCTGTCTTGAGACTCCCATGAGTTCCTTCAGAGCCGCACCTGGAGAATGGCCTCACTGGAGACAGTTCCTGGGCATGAGTCTGGTATGGTTTGGGGGCCTGCCTCCTCCCACCTCTGGAGAGGCCGGCAAATGTCGACACTGGCTAAGGCTGATTAAGCTGGGGCATCGTCCAGTCTGCAGAGAGTGGCCAGGTCCCCACAGCACCCTCTGGCAAGGGCTGCTGGGCAGTGCCACAGTACCCACCCATCCCTCCACCTGACCCATGTGTTGGATGAGAGAAATGCCATATTTTTGGCTTTTCTAGAAAATGAAAAGATCTTTCTTCTGCATGTATTTCTTCTGGGTCTTTTTGCCAGCCTGCCATGCTCAGTGAAGGCCAGCTGCAGGTGCCGAGGCCACTTATAACAGTGGCCTCAGCTCCCTGTCTGTGCTGCATTCAGATCCCATTCTAGGCCCCTGGACACCAGTGATCACTGGGTCCAGGAGGAAGCCTTGCCTCCCTATGTTCTCCTTCCTCTGATTCTCTCTGCCACTCTCCACTTGCCAGCACCTGGGGATGTTTTACCTGCTCATGTGCCAGTGCTTGGCCATTTTCCCTTCCTGCTCTCTACTTTTCCTTGGATGGTCTTACAGTTTTAAGTAGCAACTCTGGGTTGATGCCTCCCGAGTTTATCTGTTTAGCCCAGATTTCTTTCTGAAGTTCCAGACCTAATTATCCACTGCTTTCTAGACATCTCTTACCAATATCTCAAGTTTAAAATAGCATCATCTAAACCAGTGGTTCTCAACCTGTAGGTCACGACCCACAGGAACTGTATTAAAGGGTCGCAGCATTAGGAAGGTTGAGAACCAATGATCTAAACACATTATGTGTCCCCTCAGCCCACCCTAATCATCCTCTTCTTATATTCCCTGAGTTAATGGCATCAGCTTCTAACGATTTCCTCAAGCCAGCTACTGGAGAATCACATAGATGTCTTCCTGCCCAGTGGTGTGCTGGCCTGTCTCTCACTGACACACAACGGGTCACACCACTGGCATCTATTCCCAATTCTGCATTCAATGAGGTCACAGTGGAAGCCAGAAACAGGCAGTGGTGGAAGTGTTTACACTGAGGAAATACGCAAACACAACAAGTGACAGCCACCCCCGACTTCTCACCCTGCTCCTGGAGCAGGTTGTCAAACATTCATAAACACTGTGCCTGTTCTTGGGCCCCTCACTCTTGTCAGGTATCCCAGAAATGCATCAGATGTTTAAAAAACAACACATTGTTTTTAAATAAAATTTCAGGTTAATATGGGGGTACATACAATTAGGTGACATAGTTTGCTTCTGTAAG